TACAGCAGCACCTTATCTGAATAACGATCTAAGTAGAATATCCTCTTGGGCAGAAAACTGGCAGGTCGATTTCAACCCTAATAAAACAGTATCTATCCAATGTTCCCGGAAGATTCTTCCAAATGTAAAACCAGTTTTGAAAATGAGTAACACTACTGTTCAGGAAGTTCATTCTCATAAACATCAAGGACTTACTCTCCAAAAAGATTGTATGTGGAACGATCACATTGATAGCCTAGTCAAGAAAGTCAGTCCAACGATTTTGTCTCAGGAGTTTCAAGTATCGTTTAAATAGAAAAACACTGGAAACTATGTATAAATCTTTCATACTACCGATATTTGATTATTGTTGGCACATATGGGACAACTGCACAAAAGAACAAGCTTTACTACTTGAAAAACTAAATCTAGATGCACTCTGAACTATTTGGGGGGCTGTTCGTGGCACAAGTCACAGTAAACTTTATAAAGAAACAAATCTTACGTCATAAGAAGAAAGAATGCATTTTCAAAAGTTAAATATTTTTTTTATAAAATGGTTAACAATCGAGTACCGGACTATCTCACATCCGTAGTTCCAAATAGAGTGTCGGATGCAAGTGATTATAATTTGAGAAACTGCTCACAGCTGCAAACCACAAAGTGTAAATCAAATAATTATGCCAAAATCATTTATTCCAGATACAGTTAATATTTGGAGCTCACTACCTATTGAATACACCAATGCCAGTAGCTAAGGAAGTTTTAAAAGTTTTATAAAAGGCAATGATAGGAATGGTTTATACTTTGATACAAATTATGGAACAAGATTCTGTCAGGTTATACACTCCCGTCTCAGGCTTGGCTGCAGTGATCTTAACGCCGACAAATTTGCCAGATTTATATCCGACAGCCCGAGATGTTGTTGTGGCGGAAGATGCACTTCATTTCTTTCTTACGTGTCCCTTAAACAGTACAGTAAGGCAAAACATGTATTATTTCGTAAAAGGCTACGATTTAAATTCAATTCTAAATGGTAATTCAAATTTAACGACAGTAACAAATCTTAAAATTTTGAAATCGGTGCACAGTTTAATTCTATCTTCTTGTCGATTTAGAGTTTTTGTCTGAGATGTTGGCTTTGCTATATGATACTGCGATGTTGTTGTGCTGAATGTAAATAATAATGTAACTGTAGTTATGGAAGATAATCCAGTAATTACACACTTACAGAACAATACTTATATTTAATGCCAATTATACAATGTATGCTATTTTTCATGTCACTTTCAATACTTTGCTATTTGTATATGTATCATGTTTGGGAGAGGCATTCAGATTTGCTCGTTTGCCAATCCCTCCACTTTATGGAAATAAATATGTTTGTATCAAAGCAGAGAAGTCAAGAAACAAGATTCGTACAAATAATTTGGAAGTTTGTATATATTGTTTAACAGTGTAAGAGTGGCATCCTCTACTCCTCTCCCGGTTCTGTAGGCATACTGACGTGGGTCAAGTAAATGTTCTATCTGTCTAAAAAGTAAATATTGAACAATACGTTCCAGGCATTTCATAGTTATCGGTGTCAAAGCAACGGGTCAGTAATCATTCTTAACATAATGATATGTAAATGCTGGAAGAACGATAACACTAGATGTCCCCAAAAGTAAAGGAATAACATTACTAGTGACGATAGAAGTTTGGAATATGTATTTGAAAATGAGTTAATCACGACATTCCTTCAACACCATACCGCATAGATTATCAGGACCTGTAGCTTTGCGGACATTTATTTTCTTCCCAACTTCTTCAGTTAAAAACAAACTATACCAAAGCTGTTTTCTTTTATATCAAACATAAAGTGTGTATTCAGACAGATGTGTCCTTAACTTGAGTACATACAATCGACACTGGCCAGGCCAATCAGTATTTCATACTGTAGGCAACGATCCACGCCGTCTTGATAAATTGGCACGCAATCAACCTATTTACTGAATTGTACAACCCCACCCATAATGATGAGCAAAGGCTATTTGGGAATAACCATAGGGTTTGAATAATAAAATAGTCTTACTATGTTGTTTGTATGTATTTTAAAATATTTTTATTATCTCTAGACATAGTGGATGTATGTGACATTCCTGCCTAAAAGTATGGTAATGAACACATAAAATGTGTGTAATATTTGCTAACGTTGTCTATAAGACTTATTCAGTCATGACAGCCAAGAATGAATGAGTATTATTGCTAGCCAAATAAATACATATATTCAAAACTAAATAATCTATTTTTCTTTCAGAGAGGTTAAGTACTTTTACAACAATAACAGTTAGTGAGTGTGTATGGTTTTACGCCGCGTTTAGCAATATTGCAGCAATATCACGGCGGGGGACACTAGAAATGGGCTTCACACGTTATCATATGCGGAATCGAACCAACTTCTTCAGCGTGACGAGCGAACGCTTTAACCACTAGGCTACCCCACCTCTCCAACAACAATAATAAGCAAGCACTGCAATCAGAGCACAAATTCCGATTCATATGCATAAAGTGAGTGAGTGAGTATGGTTTTACGCCGCTTTTAGCAATATTCCAGCAATATCACGGCGGGGGACACCAGAAATGGGCTTCACACATTGTACCTATGTCGGAAATCGAACCCGAGTCTTCGGCGTGACGAGCGAACGCTTCAACCACTAGGCTACCCGACCGCCCCATATGCATAAAGAGACTGATCAGCGAGAAAGAGCACAATTGTTGCCCATGGGGATGACTACATGTACTTCTTGCCTAAATAGCTGAGCCCCAAAATTTGACATGGATATTATCAATGAGGAAGTCCAACATTTTCTCAGCACACTTCGGATGGCATAAACCTCTATGACCATATAATAGAAATGATTTATAATTAGGCTTACGATATTCAGTTTCCTTTCCTATTAACTGTTATACACTCGCCAGAAAGAATGTGCCATAGGATACTGCCCTCGCTTCCTTGTATTATATAATTATATAAACATTTCCTTTTAATGTAGTTAGAGGCATGCAAATGGGTATATGTCTGCCTCTGTTTGTTCATGTACTTGCAAACACATTTCAGATCTTTTACTCTGAAATTATACCTGCCGTTTCCGAGGAACATGGCATCTACATCATAACTTGTGTACTATCGAGGCAAAATGCGTGTTCAGTGTGGATTTACTGTTCAATTAAGATCGAAATGTACTTATCAAGATAGTGTATCATATTAGAAAACTGCCATCTGACTGATTCAAGAACCAACACATCCTTTATTTAGTTTGGGCGGTTAAAGATTGCTCAGGAATAACCTGCCGCGATACCCCACGGAGAGTTTCTCAGATCTTCGTGCAGATGTATTGCTTCGGAGTGAAAGGTCTACTTCAAATGAAATAGCTTTGAAAGATGTAGAATACCCAATTTGACCAGACCCATTCCCTCTTGCAAAGCATACCTGTAAATCGTAGGTGGGTCGTAACACCTACCGAATGTGATCGTGACGGTTTTCAATTATTCATTAATACAATCAAAGACAGCGAATTGCGAAAACAAAGTCACACTCTCGTGTTCAGTCCTTTAGGTTTGATTTGTATTTGTTAACAAATACAGAAGTGTTCATGATTTAAGAATTTACACCTTTAAGGTCGCCCATAGTACGAGGGACGTTCAATAATTTTGCAATTTCAATATAAGACCAAGTCGCAGAATATATTTTGCCCTTTTATTTTTGAGTATAATCTCCATTCACCTCAATACACTTATTCCATTTGTCCTTCAAGCTTTCAATACCACTTTCATAAAATCCGCAGATTGGCCCTCTAACCACGTCTCTGCGACAGCCCTTATGTCCTCGTCACCCTGGAAGCGTCTTCCACGTAGGGCAGATTTCATTTGCCGGAACAGGAAATAGTCACTGGGGGCTAAGTCTGGGCTGTAGGGCGGGTGATTTAACTGTTCGAATCCACATTCACATATGGCGGCCTGTGCAATTCTCGACTTGTGAACCGGAGCGTTGTCATGCAAAATTAGGATACCCCGTGGTAACATCCAACGGCGTTTCTGGCGAATAGATTTTCGCAATTTTAGCATAATACTGTCCATTTATTGTAGTTTTTGGTGGCATGTAATCAATCAGTAATATGCCTCTTGCATCCCCGAATATGGTGGCCATTACCTTGCCAGCCTATGGTTCAGTGCGAAACTTCCTCGGAGGTGGAGGATTGGAGTGCTTCCATTACATGGATTCCAAGTTAGTTTCTGGGTCCCAGTGGTGGATCCATGTTTCATCACCTGGCACTAGACGAGAAAGAAATGCGGCTTCATAGAGATCCAGGAAGTCTCGACAACTTTCAGTTCTCTGATGGCGATCTTGAGCTCTGAGGTTTCTAAAAAATTAGGTACCCATCTTGCAGATACCTTGGACATACCAAGATGCTCATGAATTATGGTTCCAACAGTTCCAACTGATATTTGGAATTCCCTAGAAAGTTCAGATACTTTCACTCGTCGGTCAGACAACATTCTTCTTTCTATAGCAGCTATGGTTTCCGGTTTGGTGGCATCTGAAGGCCTGCCTGACTTTGGGTCATCGTCTATGGACTCCCTACCCCTTTTAAACTGTAGAGACCAACGTCAAACTGTGGAATAGTGAGGAGCATCTTTACCCATCACTTTACACATGCGACAATGGATTTTTTTTTACTTTACATCCCTCCTTGGTAAGGAACTTTATTACAGCGCGTTGTTCATGTTTGAGAGAATCCATGATTGTGACCAACCTTAGGTGAACGAAGCCATCACATCTTACTTATTGTTGTGTCTGGAACTTGTTATGACACGTGTCAACCTGATGTTATGACCAGTGGCACACCTGCCACAAGTTGACATTATTGTGTTAACACAAATGCCCAAGTTGCAAAACTTATTGAACGCCCCTCGTATGTTATCAAACTTTGGAACAATCATACAAGCACCTTATCATGCGTACTTATGGTTATTTGTAGGCTCATCCATGTGCAAATCAGCCATGCAGTACCAACCACATGTGCATCCCCGTCAACACTGCTAAAGACCATATATGTGTACGTGTTGGTGTGTTCATACCACAAACTACTGAAGCAGGAATGGCAACAGCGTCTGCAACAACCACAACAGCTACGGCAACAGTATCTTCTCAAGCAGCCTCTTCAACTACATCTACTGTACCTCCTCCTTCACTTGAAGTGACTATAACTGCTACAACTACTGCCCCAACCACCACCCCTGCATCAACCACTACTACTATTACTACTACTCCAACCACCACCCCTGCATCAACTACTACTACTACCCAAACCACCACCCCTGTATCAACGTTTACTACTACCACTACCACTACCACTACCACTCCTACTGCCACCACCCCTAAGCCTGCATCAACCACTACTACTACTACTCCAACCACCACCCCTGCATCAACCACTACTACTGTTACTACTACTCCAACTACTACCCATGCATCAACTACTACTACCACCCCAACCACCACCCCTGTATCAACGTTTACTACTACCACTACCACTACCACTACCACTACCACTCCTACTGCCATCACCCCAAAGCCTGCTTCAACTCATGCAATAACGATTCCAGATACAACCGAATTTGAAATGACAAGTCTTGAAACGACCACAACTCCTGCACCGACAACATCAGCTCCAGCATCAACGTCAACTGCCGAACTGGCGAGCACGTCTGATCCATGTATGTATGCGTCAGCGGTACTGTTAACTATTATAGTTAAAAGCCATACTTGGGTTTCTGTGCCGTTGACGAGATAAAAAAAAAATGAATATATGAAACATCGAGAAGTAATGGTTTTATTTCAGTGACTATATGTATTTCACAAAGAGCACACCTCAATATATTTCTGTTCGTTTAAACCCTTTTTGGACATTGGCATTCTGAATTACCAATATAAGAACATGAACATTTGAAAAATTATACTACGTGAGATGACAGGTACGAATAATTAAAACTAATTACAAAACACGTCCGTCTGGCTGATTCCATGACTCCAGAACTAACAGAGAGCCGATAACAGAATGTTTAGAGCAGCAACATATTGTCGTTTTTCGCAATGGGACACCAGAAATTTTCAAAATATATTTGTACCCATGTGGGGACTCGAACCTGGCCCTTCGTGTGGAGCGAACGCTTAAACTACTGTACTGCCAGTCTTGGTAACACTGCTCTGTCATTACTGCCAAGCAACATGGCATCCTCATGAATAATCCATAGGTGTAATAGTTTCTTTCAACTTTTAGAATAATTGATATTGTTTCCTGGGAAGAGATATGCCAAGATGATGTCAACCATCTCCAATCTGGCGGGGTTATCCGAAACATATTTAAACCACTGGGTCATGCCACAGCAGCCATAAAATTGCCCGAGACGGATGTTGGTGCCCTGGGACTATAATGTCTGTATCTGGACTAAAGAATGGTCATTCCATGAACAGGCCCATAACCACATTTCCACCTGTACATCAGCATGGGGCATTTAGCAAACATACTGCTGTGAAAAACTACAACCGCTGTTGCTCTTCCTTCGCCATGTTCGTCCAACGGCGGCGTCATTTCACGCCGTCGATTCAAGGCGGTATTATCCAGTGCAATCAACTCTGTACCCACTTCATTTTATGGCTTGCGGTTGTTGCAGTCTGCTATCATAAGTAGTGGAACCGACGTTGCTACTTTTGCCTCAAGGGGGCACGGTGGCGATTGGCTGTGCAGAGTTGCGTCCCTTGGGTCCTCCAGAAACCTATGATTGTGGGTTCGAATCCCGGTTCGCCCCGATTATGTTTCTAGGTTTGTCAGCAGGATACCAGTGCTCGTGGGTTTCACCGAAGTGGTAAACGTCTGAGACATGCATCCCTTCGGGCTTTCCTCCCACATTAAGCTGACACGCCGTGATATAAGGGGAATGCTGTTAAAACCGGTGTTAAACCAAACTCACTCACTCACTCACTCACTCACTTTTGCATCAACTTCAAATACAGTGACACTGAATCTCGGCTATGTGTACATGTGTCAGCTCGGCCCCCACAATACACTTCTGCAATGTTTCGAGTAATTTGATTACACAAAAGCAAATTATTATAAACTTAAATTCAAATACCACACAATGCTGCAGGGAATAATGGATAATAACACACTGAAAGGATAATATGTTTATTTATTTATTAGGTGTAACAGCCCGTCAGTAATCACTTATCGAGGATTTTCAATTTACGACGCCGCTTATTAAAGATTTGATTTTAAACCCATCTCCAAAACAACACAAGGGCGGTAACTTTAACTTCTTACACACACAGGGTATACGTGGTGTACATTATGTGTGTAATGTACACGTGTGTTTTGCAGATAACGACACATGTGTAACGGACGTCGACTGTACTACACCTCCTGGCAGAGCTTGCTCTGGTGGTGTCTGCATATGTTCCATCGGATACGACATGGACGAGACCAGCGTTGTGTGCAGAAAGCTGACAGGTAACACGCAGTAACACTGGCATCACCCAGTCATTAAGTTTTGAATTTGAAAATTAACATGTGGGTTACCATGATTATGCAAATAGTTTTGTCGCTTTTATTAAATTGAAAACTGCATTTTTCCAAGTTTATGAATATATATAATGGATCGTCACTCTAGGCGTCTTTGGTGTTGATCGTGTCTTCATATTACAATGCGATGGGACGTTGCTCTTAATGTTAATCACTGGTTTGTTGGTGAGGCATTAAACAACAAACAGCATCTTTACACAACAATGATGATTATCACCTGATCATTGCGGTTTAGTTCGAATGTCCAAATAGTTATTCTACCGGCTCAGGCACACATCTTTCATTTTGTTACAGAATGCTCATCACTTGGATCTGAGTTCACCCTCCATGTGGACAAGTATATAAAGCAAACGAACTTTAAGACCATTGAGTATACAACGTCTGAAGAATGTGCCCAGTTGTGCTTGGAAGCAGACACAGTGTGCAGATCGTTTGAATATGGTTATAATAACTGCCACTTGCAGGACGTCACGTGGTTCAGTGTCGTCAGCAACAAACGTAGGTCCGGGAGTGGTTCGCGTCATTACCAGCGTAGATGTAACTGGTGAGGCAGACGTGCCGTCACTGTCCCGCAGCATGGTCTAAATTTATAATTGTACCTTTCCTTAAAAACCGATAGAAATGGTCCAGAGAACTTTCGTGTTTTTCTTTAGTGGGTGTGTAGTACAAATTTATACAACTGATATTTTTGCCATCTAGTTTGAGGAAGATGTGTGAAGAACAAGCTGGTTTTAGAGCTTATTATGCAAATAAATTGTCATTTCTATATTTCAATCTATTTTTCAGCTAAAATGGCAGTGCTTCTGCACCTTGCTTGTAGTGAGTGAGTGAGTGAGTGAGTGAGTGAGTGAGGTGGGTTTAGCGCCGCCTTGAACAGTATACCAGTTATATAACGGCGTGTCAGCTTATTGTGGTAGGAAAGCCCGAAGTGGTGCAGGTCTCAGACGTTTATCACTTTGGTTAAACTCATGAGCACGGATATGGTTCTGACAAACTAAGAAACATAATCGGGGCGAACCAGGCTTCGAACCAACAATCATTGGTTTCTGTCATAGCCAAGGGACGCAACTCTTCACAGCGAATTGCGACGCCTTAGACGACTGCGCCACCCGTGCCCCCGCTTGGCTTGTAGGTTTTACTAAAACATTCGTTTCTCTGTACACATTCTTGATAATCAAAGAGGGTTATTTACCGTACTGGTATTGAAATATGTTGACGACAATGTAACACCATGCGTATGTACTAAAACGTATACCTATTTGATTGTACAGTCGGATTACATGAAGGCTGAATTTTCTGTGTTTCGGCTTCTTTATTCCGTTCTTTAATAATGAATTGATGGTGAAATCACAACCACGTGTACAAATTGTACACAAATAATTCCCGATGAAGTTTAGATATTGCTGCAGGTGTTTGCAGATTACGTTGTCCTCTTTTCAGACTCGGTAGTTTGCTTACAACTGCACATTAATTTTTTGTAACGCCACTGTCACAAAAGGTCTCTAAAGGTTATTTGTACAATTACCAAGGTTACTGTTTTCACAAATGGTGGGAATTCTCCGAATTTAAAACGTTCGATCTACAAATGTGCCGCTTTATAAGTGTTTGGGCATAACGTTTAGTAGAACGCTCAGTTGGACAACAACAGCAATATATATGTAATTGTCAATGCTGTCAATGTCTGTAGTTAAAGGCTTAACAAAGAAGATGTGTATCCGTACTTAAAAGTAATCAAATAAAAAGATGATTTTGTCGGATATTGGAATACCTCTTATGGTGTTTACGTTAAAATATGTTGAAAGCAAGATACTCCCAAACCCATTATAGGGATCAAAGATATTAAGTATTCCTAACTGTGATTGTAAAGATAAAGTTCAGATATTATTGACCTTATTCCTCTTAGTGAGGGAGCATTATATCCTATTTACACAATTTCGATCATTCGTAGTAAATTGTATAGGTTGAAACTCTCAGAATAGAAAAAATATTTTAACCAGACAAAGATTATGCGTCTACTTTTTGAAAATGTGTACACATAGGTGGCGGTATGTATGTGTTTTAAAATCCCATACGGAGAGGGGTGGTCGGATAGCCTAGTGGTTAAAGCGTTCGCTCGTCGCCGAAGACCCGGAATGGGTACAATGTGTGAAGCCCATTTCTGGTGTCCCCCGCCGTGATATTGCTGGAATATTGCTAAAAGCGGCATAAAACCATACTCACTCACTCACTCACCATACGGAGATGGGTTAAACGTTCGTTTCGGTAGTTCAGCTGTCATCAAAGACACTTTGCACATTTGTATATAAACAAGTTCAAGAAATATTAGAAATGAAAGTCAGAAGTTCCTGTTCCTTGGAGGCCACCGTGTTAGATCTGTACGTTATCTACACCCCGTGGAGGATCCTGAACGTTCAAGAAAACCAACCCCACTCACTCCGATTCCCCACCTACTCTTCAACAGTCTGTCACTCCTACTCCGAATCAAGAGTGCCTCATTAATAATCCCCACTGTGCGAGCGTTGTTCTTCCCGCCTCCATCCCGCGTTACAATCTTACAGTGATTCGCCTAAAGGTAACATATAGTGTGCTTTTGGTGAGTCGGGACATGACCCTCGGACAGCGGCTAGGCAGGCTGGCCGACTAGCGCCTCCACGATGATGCCTAGCCATTGCTATTGTACCAGGCTCTTGTATATGTAATCACGTATATAAGTTTTGTGGACCCGAGGATGGACTCGTGTGTTTGACGACCAGCAAACAGATATCCCAGCCTTCTTTCACTGACATAAAGTTTGAGAGAGTGGGTGAGTTAGGTTGAACGCCGCTTATAACTTTATTCCAGTTATATCACGGTGTGTCAGCTTTATATGGCAGCTTAATATGGGAGGAAAGCCCGAAGTGATGCAGGTCTCGGACGTTTACCACTTCGGTGAAACCCACGAGCACGGGTATGGTGCTGACAAACCTAGAAACATAATCGGGGCGAACCGGGATTCGAACCCACAATCATAGGTTTCTGGCGTGCCCAAGGGACGCAACTCTGCACAGCGAATCGCGGCGCCTAGACGACTGGGCCACCCGTGCCCCCAAAAAGTTTGATGAGTGAGGAGGGCGCAACGAGTTATCTTGCATTAAGTTTATACTACTATACAGTTTTATCAATATAAGCATACAATTTTAGTAATTTGCCAGTTATTTTCCTAGTATATTTGCTTCCAGTCAAATTCATGTTAACAGACACTGAAACATATTAAGAATAACATTCCAAATGGTTATCTGAAAAAGGTTTATCCCACATGAAACTTGTTAGATTGACAACGCAGCAAACTACTGCCACATATCGCCAATTTTGAAAAGCATGTTGCGATAAAAAACATATGAGCACTTACGACAAACAGGTTCTATATCACAAAGTTCAGATGTTGTCAATGATCTGCATCCATATTGAGATGAAGAAACTGTCACAAGAGTCTCTTTGCACATGTCTACTACTGCCAGACAGGGTCATGATAGGATTTTGATTCGAACAGTTAATACTGATGTAACAGTCCTGACCTTTGCATTGTTTAAAAGAATAGACGTGCCACACCTCTGTATAGCTTTTGGAATCGGCAAGCAATTCAGACATGCGGCTGTTCGTGTCCTTGTCGGATTCCATGGACCAGAGAAAGCCTTTCACTTCGAGCTTTTCTTGCAATAACTCGCTGTGACCAGGGGTAAACAAAAAAGACGAAACCGTAGGAAACATGGAATCTGTATGGTGAACAACAATGGCTATTAAACAAATGGGGACATTATATTAAGCGTTTTGTGGTCTTAATGTATGATCGGTCGAGTATCTGTACACGATTTCACGAGGCACGCAAAGACTTATTCACTAAGGAAGTTAGAGAAATTGATTTCTGTTCCTCTACATCAGCTGATTTGTACCATCATGTCAAAAGTCAAGCTGTCCAGCTGGCTGGACGAAGTCTGGAGGTCGAAACAGAACTTCCCACACCAACTGAGAGAAAGTGGGTAATATCAGTAGCACGTGGCTATGAGCCTTTGTTGGCTATACCATCACAAGCTTCTAAGTCGTGCCAAGAGCTTCTGAGATGTATTTGTAAGTACAAGAGAGGGTGCAGAGCAGGGTGTGATTGTGTTGTGTCACATTAGGTTAGTTCATCACTTTGCAAATGTGATAACATTTAATTGTCACTAGCCAACAAACACATTAACCATGTAGAAGCATTTTTCAATGGATACAAATTTGTTCTTTAAATATTCTGTTATTTACAATATGTGAGGGGGGCACGGTTGGCCCAGTCGTCTAAGGCGCCGCGATTCCTGTGCAGAATTGCGTCCCTTGGGCACGCCAGAAACCTATGATTGTGGGTTCGAATCCCGGTTCGCCCCGTTTATGTTTCTAGGTTTGTCAGCACCATACCCGTGCTCGTGGGTTTCACCGAAGTGGTAAACGTCTGAGACCTGCATCACTTCGGGCTTTCCTCCCACATTAAGCTGACACGCCGTGATATAACTGGAATAATGTTAAAAATGTGCCTTTAAGATATGCCGACAAAGAAAGAATACTCTTTTCATTTGTCCACACTTTAGATTACCTAAAACAAATAGTCTACTAAGATTCAGTTATTTACGTTAAAGGTGCAGTATTGGGTAAATACGATGATTTCCAAAATGGTCATTTTTCATAATATATTCAGGCTGTGGGTCATGCTCAAACGAGGTATACTAGAATTTCATTCCTCAATTGGACTTAGTGGCCATATCGGATGTTTTTTTTATGTGGCCCCATATCTGAAAATATTTGGAATGGCTTTTATCGCTAGGTCCACAATTTCTAACGAAACGGCCCCACCCTATGTCGTCGTTGCACAACATAACATTAGTATTTCCGTACTTTGGTTAGCATCGCCAATGTCGATATTCTCTTTTAAACCGTTCAAACAGATTAATATTGTATTCGTGTTTCTTTGTTTATGGTCTACGCAGAAGAATAGCATGGTGCGGGGAACCATCGATTGGTTGATGATATGGATCAAGACTCGCTCTGAATCTTATCTCTGAATCAGCAAAAAGTGGCTCAACGGGTAGTTAAGTATTTTATAACAAAATATCGGATAATTAGACAGTGTCAGACAATTAAATAACAATAGAGTAGTTTTATCAAATATGCAATCTAGAAATGGTTCGATTATCATAAAATCGTTAACATTATTTATTGATAATTATTAATTCATGGCAAACGACCCTCATGTGTCCACAAATTATTTTCCTTCAGGGTTAAATAGGTTCTCACATCTACATACAAGACATGTGCTAGTTCACATTAGTTATACAGTGTACTACTAACGACTGTCAGTGTTACAGGCTCATGTTATGTCTGTCACCGTGGTGGAGCTGGTTGGTATGCTTATTTTCGGTTTATTGTTTCAGTTTTGCCCCTGCATGACATTACCGGGACTCACAGGGGGGTCGCTGAACAAAATTATTGCTGGATCTGTGTTCCGTATTTTTCGTACCTCGTCCTTCCAGCAGTGTTACCGACTGTGTGTCTACTCGTCAGACTGCGCATCGGTCAACTGGAGGTCAACTACTAGAGAATGTCAGATCAACTCACAGGATAACGAGGCTGGCGGTTTGGTAGATTCCAAATTCAACATCTATGTACCAGTTGGACGGATGCTGCGACAGGTATGTTTTCACAATGCAGTCTTCTCCTTGTCCGGTCAAGTCCAACAGTAGAAATAATGAACAGTAACCTACGCTTGTCTAAAAGGGCCTAAAATGAATTTTTGTTTGAGACAGATTAGTATTTTTCAGTCAGCGCCTCATGACATAAATATTTTTCTAGGAGTGTGTGAGTTGGTTGGATATATCGCCGCTTTGAGTGAGTGAGAGAGTTGGGTTTAACGTCGGTTTTAACAGTATTCCGGTTATACGGCGTGTCAGCTTAATGTGGGAGGAGAGCCCGAAGTGATGCATGTCTCAGACGTTTACCACTTCGGTGAAACACGAGCACAGGTATGGTGCTGACAAACCATAGGTTTCTGGCGTGCCCAAGGGACGCAACTCTGCACAGCGAATCGCGGCGCCTCAGACGACTGGGTCACCCGTGCCGCCTAAAGCCGCTTTGAACAGTTACAGTTATATCATGGCGAATCCGCTTAACGGAACGGATAGTTACAATGTGTAATCTTATCCCGTTAGCGTTGGATGGTGCTCACACTATCAACTACGAATTTGTCTGTACAATGTAAACGTTTGCTTTAGCTGGATAGCTACCGACTGCGATGTAAAGCATTCTCTAACTCAATCTATCTCATAGTAAGTTTCTCATTGTCGTTATATACTCAACAACAAAAGTTCCTGTGACACCAATATTTTAGTGTATTTTTCAAACAAGTAAAGTTTGGATTTCAATATTGTAGCACATGTATTGAATGAAGTCACAAAAACATGCATTCCAAGTTGACTATTATGCAAGCCTCGTGCATTTCTCCACCAAGAATAGGTATAAAAACACGTGCATTAACGGGATTCCATATGCAGTGTTTAACATCGTGCTGACAACAGCCACTCAGAAAAACAACAAAATTACGCAATTATTCAACATTACGAAATGCCACGCCTGTCCGAAAATGAGCGTCTGCGAGCCATTGGTATGCTTGAAGCAGGATCGAGTCAAAGTGATGTTGCAAGACAATTTCACGTCCACAGAAACACCATTTGGTGTTTATGGCAACGTTGGCAACAGACGAATGCAGTCAGAGACCATCCCCGGAGTGGCAGGCCACGCGTACCAATAATCGACAAGACAACTGGATTCAAACAACACACCTACGAAATCGATTCCAGCCAGCAACAGTGACTGCAAGAGGCATCCCTGGCCTTCAACTAAAATCTTCACAAACCGTACGTCGTCGCCTCACATGTGCAGGGATTGTCGCCAGAAGACCCGCCAGACATCCCATTTTGACAGGAAGCCACCGCCAAGCACGTCTACAGTGGTGCAGACAGCGTCTACGCTGGACGGCCAGACAGTGGTCAGTGTTCTATTCACTGACGTGTCTCGTTTTCACCTCAGACACAGCGATGAACTGATTCGAGTGTACCGACGTCGAGGTGAACGTTACGTCAATCAATGTGTCATGGAAGAAGATCGGTTCGGGGGCGGCAGCATTATGGTATTGGGTGGGATTACAGCAATACAGAGGACTCGTTTGATAGTGGACAGCACTACCGCGACGAGATCATCGGCCCTGTTGTTCTACCGTTTTTGCGTCGTCATGGCCCAGGCATTACCTTTCAATATGACCACGCCCGGCCTCATATTGCTCGACGTGTTCAAGATTCTTTTCAACAAAACAACGCGAATGTCATCCCCTGGCCGGCCCGCTCCCCTGATCTGCCACCAATCGAGCACATGTGTGATGAGATGGATCGGCGCCTTCGACACAGACCTTCCACAGACACTCCAGGAAAATGCTCCAGTAGATATAGACAGGTATCCCACAGGACTTGCGACGCTTGGTCCTTTCCTTGAGACGAAGATATGTTCTTTGCATCGCAACCAGAGGTGTGGCAAATTAAACCATTTGAACAGTTACAGGAGTCTTTTATCTGTTGCAAACCAAAATTGTTTAGGATTTGGTAAAAAACTTAACCTTGCATTAAATCTTTTTCAATGTCACAGGAACATTTGATGTTCAGTATACATTGATTCGTGAGTATCGTTTTCTCTATATTAGAAGCTTCCACAGTCGTTTGGATTCTCAGTTCTTTTTTGAAAAAATCTTTCGGTTTTATTTTTGATTAATGGACGAGAACATTGTATTTTCAAAACGGGTTAATCTTTTTTTACTTCTGTTGTCTGAGCTATTCAAACCACTTAAAATATTTATTATTGGTGTCTTTGTTCTAGCCTTCGACGCTAGGCTGTATAATCGATTCAAACCATTAACACGATCGTTTAATCTAATGTTTTGGGGTAAATGCACTTAAGCTGCGTACACATACTTCTATACAAATTTTTCTAATGATATAGTGGTACCTATTGTCAGTTAGATTTACATTTTTCGATTTTCACAGTGTAATTCAATACAGCTGCGCCCATCATGACCGTACATATGCAGTATGTTGACTATGTTCCCAATAAATCTATCCGGATTGGCATTTTTCCGGACTATGTGTAGCATCAGAATACCGTTGGAAAGGGTGCATAACAGGCTATGAAGTTGTGACATAGCTATGCCTGCTGGTACAAGAAATGATATCACGGCGTCAAACCCATGCTTGGTTCCATTATTTGTAACAGTCGTGAAAGATATACTTACGGGAAGAATTATGTTTTCTCGAGATGATTTAATCAGTCATGCGTGAAGAAAACTCACGTGCCATGCATGGTATGCCCGTGCAGCATGCTACCCTCGAGTATCTCGAAAAGCAGTGTATCTAAACGTTAACATAGCTTTCTCAAGCTCGGTTTTAAATAATTATTCAATGACATTTTGTGACCATGGCACGAAGGCGATTATTAAACGCCACAATAACAAATAATCGGCATGCATACCACAGGAATGTCTTGTATTGCCATCGGTCGGAATTTGGGTTATCTTCACACTGTCGAGAAACATGCTCAGACCGGTGATGTATAAGACCGTCCCGGATCCAAATGACCTCCAGTGACGACACATCGCGAAGACAGGGACCTTCTTCGTCTCATACGCCGAGAAACCTTTTAAACAAGTACTCGTTTGAAACAGCTGTGGTTGCCCAATCGTCGTTTCAGCGCCAGAACCGTCAGATACCGACTGAAAGCAGCAGGACTAAGGGCTGGACGAGTCCTGAAGCGTCCCCTGTTGAGAGATCAGCACAAAGCTGCTCGTTTAGCATGGTGTATTGCGCGACAGAACTGGAATCTGAGAACTTGGAGAGGGATCCACTGGTCAGACGAAAGTCGCTTCCTACTCCACGTCTCTGATGGAAGAACGAGAGTTTGGAGGCACCGGAACACGGCCAACACCCACAGGAACATTAAACCGACTGTTGCATAGGCCAGGGGCTCGGTAATAGTTTGGGGATGTATTTCTCATGATTGCAGGTTGGATTTGGTCACTATAAGGGTCAACCTAACAGGGGCTAAGTACGTTTTGAGCCAGTCGTGGTTCCTCATTTTGACAACCATCCGGACACGTGGCGGATATACCCGCTACTGATCTGTTTCGCGTGTCATGTCAAGTAGAGACTTTAAGGTACAGTTTCACATGAAACATCATACGTAACTCGTTTACTTAATCCTGCAGCTCCATACATTTTTAGGAATTGTCTAAGGTCAAAAACTGTACCTGTGTTACCATGATGTTTTTGTCAGTAGATTTCAATCGCAACTCATCAATATCTTCTTCCTTGTTGTCAAATGTTTGTTCTATCAGATGACATTGGTATAGCCCAGCTCCTGTGCTCAGTCATCCCATGCCAATATTTTTGCCATTTGTCATGGTTCAGAAATAGGGGTGTGCTTAACTTTTTTCTTTGTGTATATTATCAAACTACAAGAGACCATTAACTTGTTATGCTTGAGTAGCTGGTAGGGCAGGATATGCTTACCCTTTTGGTGAACAATTGGTGTCATCACATTTCGGTGATCCATTTACATAATTATCACCACTATCTTGCCTTTTAGGCCCAAGGAAACCCGTTTCGGCAGATGCTCAAAAGTGGCTATTCTCTTGCGTTGACCTATGCCTATATTTCACAGATGTCAAATCGATTTCATATATATTTCCACTGTTGTTCCTTTGATGTTTTAACCTAAGATGAAAATATTCGCACGTTGATGTCTTGAGTGCACCTGGTGATCTGATGTTGTTTTTACTTGTAGATGAGTCCATGCAACGAACGCCCTTGTTCTACCAAACACATGTGCGTCCCTGTCATCAAGTCCACATCCCACATATGTGTTAATCTCGGTGACTACACATACCTACCATCCACATCAGAAAGACCAACTCCGGAATCAGGAACAACTACCGAAGAGCAACAGACAACTACCATGGATGAAGTAACCGCTACCCCAGATCAAGCCACGGCTACACAAGAACAACCTACTGCTACCACAGAGGAACAAACGGCTACCCCAAATCAAACCACAGCTACCCAAGAACAACCCACAACTATCACCGAGGAACAAACAGCTACCCAAAATCAAACCACAGCTACCCAAGAACAACCTACTCCTACCACAGGGGAACGAACGGCTACCCCAAATCAAACCACAGCTACCCAAGAACAACCCACAACTATCACAGAGGAACAAACAGATACCCCAAATCAAACCACGGCTACCCAAGCATCACCTACTCCTACCACAGAGGAACAAACGGCTACGGCAAATCAAACCACAGCTACCCAAGAACAACCCACAACTATCACCGAGGAACAAACAGATACCCCAAATCAAACCACGGCTACCCAAGCATCACCTACTCCTACCACAGAGGAACAAACGGCTACGGCAAATCAAACCACAGCTACCCAAGAACAACCCACAACTATCACCGAGGAACAAACAGCTACCCCAAATCAAATCACGGCTACCCAAGATCTACCTACTCCTACCACAGAGGAACAAACGGCTACCCCAAATCAAACCACAGCTACCCAAGAACAACCCACAACTATCACCGAGGAACAAAGAGCTACCCCAAATCAAACCACAACTACTACAGAAGAACAAACGGCCCCAGATCAAGTCACGGCTACCCAAGAACAATCAACTATCACGGAGGAACATACGGCTACCCCAAATCAAACCACGATTAGCCCAGAACAACCTACAACTACTCCAGAGGAACAAACAACCACCCCAGATCTAACCACAGCTGCTACCGAAACAGCAACCCAAACACGTATGTAAACTTGAATTTAAACCTGAAACTAAACTACTTTCAGTTCAAACTGTGTCAACCCTGCAACAAAATGTCACTTTCTGTATTTGCCAAAATAATTTTAAAGGGGCCAAAAATCGCGTTTAATATACCCTAGTTTCATATACAATGTCATCTTATGACGTGCTACGTTGTCTTGAGCGGAAGCTCGGTAGTTCGATCCTCTGGCACTGTGATATCAAAAGACGTTATTGGGAGCACTTCTTGTTACCCACACGTTCGATTGCACTGACGCCTTTATGTAAGCGACCAAATCATCGATCTTAATGTGACATGAAACCCACATTTTACCTCACCTTTCATTGCATGTTCAACATCTCTCATCTTAAACCCCTCTTGACAAGCCACATGACGCTGAAATGTTTCATAGATGATCCCAATAGTGTCAGTGAAACCTGTCTACATAATTACGATACTATTTTCAACATCCTTTCTAAAGCGGCTGTATTTGCAATGTCATTTGGCATTTTTGTGAGCGTGAACGCCATGGGTCTTTGTTCGTCGGCAGTCCAGTCGTCACGTAATAGTTATCCAACTTTCAATCTTCAGAACCTAAAGACGTCAATGTTATTATCTAGTATAGTGCTTGGATACAACAACAATTCAAATTGCTATTTTTTTTCTATTTTAGTGCTAAATACAGCTTTCACGCCAACCTCTTCTCCTCATTAACCAGCAGTCACGATAAGTGATCTGCAATGAATTTGAAAGCTATATGACATCAACATAGTTTCTTTTGCTGTCTTGGGCACGGGTGGACCAGTCTTCTAAGGTGCCGCAAATCGCTGTGCAATTCACTTGCCCGATTGCCCCGATTATGTTTTTGGATTTGTCAGTATAATACCCGTGCTCGTGGGTAAAGGTGGTAAATGTCTGAGAGCTGCATCACTTCGGGCTTTTCTCCTACATTAAGCTGACACGCCGTGATATAACTGGAGTACTGTTCAAAGCAGTACTGTTTAATCCAAGTCACTCACATACTTTTGCTGACATAAAAAGCTAATAGATTCAGCAAGAAAGTGTTAAATATAAAGGCAATATCATTCTAACAAATGGTGTACATGTATGAGGCCATCATTACCACCACTGTGATGTTTTCCAGCGTCCGCAACATGTGACAGAGACAGCGACTGCAATTCCTTCCCCGATACGACCTGCTCTGATGGCCTATGCACCTGCAGCATTGGATACGACCTAGACTTGGCCAGAGACGTGTGCAGGAGTATACAGGGTATGCACCTAGTTTAGTATTGCCGTTATGATTCGTTCATCTGAAATATAGGTTGGTGTGAGTTTCAGTCATGATGTATTTGTTCCCGACAATAACAGTGCCAACTGGCAAAACTAATTATGTTTGGTGCATTTGTGCTTTCAATTGATTGTTTATGTTTTGACATAGCGGTGACGTTAATTGAAACGTACAATAGCCTAGTACCAACAGTGCTCTATCTCCCATATGGACCGCCTCCGTGGTCTTGTGGTCGAGCGTCCGCCCGGAGAGCGGAAGGTCCGGGGTTCGATCCCCGGCCGCGTCATACAAAAAGACGTTGGAAGATGGTACTTGTACCTGTCTGGCGCTCGGCATTAAGGGGCTAAAACAAGGACTGGTCGGCTTGGAGTCAGTATACTGTGTCTGAGTGGGGTATTCATGTTAAACTGCGGCATGGTATCTCAGTGAGCTACCACTATAAATCGGCATCAGTCCGGACTAGTACAAGCAGCCACACACAAACACATACACGTGTATGCACGTCGCTATATAAGTGCAATAATCTTGGACGCGACGTTAAACCCAATTTCACCTCACCTCACCTATCTCCCACAATGGTAAACCAGCGAAAGGGTCAGGAGACACACTGCCAGCCAGGTGACACGTTGTTATCACAGGTTCCTCATTAGTCCTCCTACCACAAGCAAGGGATACTGGGGACCTATTCTGTCCAGATTGTCCGACAGGGATTTAAGGTTAACATTGGTCTACTTGTGATCGGTGGTCAACTGTGGGTTTTGTCGCTTTTTGGACAGTGATTTTCCAGAGATACATAGCACGATTCATTCATTTAAAATGACTCAGTGGGTAAATGTAAGTTTCGGACATGACCATGTATTTTAATAAGCTATTTCATATTTTCCCAGAATGTTCCAGTTTGGGATCAGACTTTACCAAATATCGGTCGAAGTACATCTACCAACACAACACGGAAGAGATAAAGCCATCCACGCTGTCGGAGTGTTCACAGGTGTGCCTGGCAGCAAGCTACACCTGCAAGACCTTTGACATGATCAATGGTGGTTGCTACACACAAGAGGTCACCTGGTTTGAAGTCGCATATTATAAACGCAAATCATCAACATCCTATGGGGATAGCGACCATTACCAACGTAGATGTAATTGGTGAGACAGATGATCCCCAAACCATATGTAGGTCTTGATTATTATGATATAAGTCCTGCATTATGTCTTAAGAATGTGTTCGTGTTTGTTGTTCAACGCCACTCCGTGCAATATGCCAGCTGTATGACGAAGGCCTGAGAATGATCCAGTCTGGATCAGGCAATCCCGTGATTAATGCCATATACGATCTTCGCCGTCTGACGCGTTGACCACCTGATCGATTCAGTCGCTTCTATCGAAATCTTCTTGCGGAATCATAATTAAAATGAATTCTTTCAATCTTAAGACAAATACTCATTTGTCAATCAGAGGTTTCTCACATATCTCTCTCTCTCTCTCTCTCTCTCTCTCTCTCTCTCTCTCTCTCTCTCTCTCTCTCTCTCTCTCTCAACAGCTGGGTTTTAAGTTTGGTGTGTTTATCAACTCTTTGTCTCAGAGGCAACAAGTTTGCACAATAAAACATTCGTGAATAGATCTTGCTTATTTAACCGTTTATATACTTTTAGCCTGGAACGATTGGCTACCAAAGGGTAATTTAAAAAAAATAATTTATCACAACATCTTCCTTTGAATGTCAATCCTAAAATAACAGGGGGCACGGGTGACCCAGTCGTCTTAGGCGCCGCGATTCGCTGTGCAGAGTTGCGTCCCTTGGGCACGCCAGAAACCTATGATTGTGGGTTCGAATCCCGGTTCGCTCCGATTATGTGTCTAGGTTTGTCAGCACTATACCCGTGCTCGTGGGTCTCACCGAAGTGGTAAACGTCTGAGACCTGCATCACTTCGGGCTTTCCTCCCTCATTCAGCTGACACGCCGTGATATAAATGGAATACTGTTAAAACCGGCGTTAAACCAAATTCACTCGCTCACTCCCTCACTCCTAAAATAACATGGTCGCTGGCCTTCTCCATTCGTTTTATTATTTTCTGACTCTCCATATATGTACCATGATGACTTAAGTGAGTTAAGTGAGTGCATGTTTGTGACGGGTATTATCACTATTTATCACAATGATAGTGATTCATATACGTACATATCCTCATGATTTGGTCGGAATCGTTCAATCGACAATTTTGGCAGAGAATAAGGAAAGGGTTTTGTCGCTTTTATTTTCAATACTATTTCATTATTTCCACATGACGGTGAATCAGTTGTTCACGCGACAAAAATTGAAGAACTGCTAACCGCTATCAATCAATAGTCTCCATCAATATATATTTTCAGGTAAACCTTGATTGATGCCGTTTTCAGAAATATTCCAGGCGTAGCGCTCTGGCGTGAAAAACTTTCGAGTGTGGGCCAGACAAACCAGTGGTTGACACAATGAGAAGCGTCGAGCCTCTCTGAAAATAAAGTATTTGTATGTTTTGTGAGAAACCGTTCATCTCTAAACGGGAATGCTTTCTGAATACATGGATGAATCTAACAAAAACCCTAATCACACGTTGTTCTGGTCTTAGTGTCATATATATTTTTAAAACTGTCATATAACCATAACATTTAAATATTAATAACGATACATTATAAACTTGGGCAATATATCATCAGCAAGATTAGGCCACCATACCAGGAACCTTTGCCACTCGCGTGGACCCAAGTAGGGTTAACATCATCCCTTCATCACAGGAGATTATTGACAAGGATTAGTAGGAGGTTAAAAACAAACAATGTTCTACGATTTAAACACTGATATACATTAACATACTTTGGGTGACTTGTGTATACATACCCTCTCAAGGGGGAATACAATTTTACGCTAAGTCAACCCCCGTCAAGGGCACGTCCAGAAACAATCTCATTTAATAATCGTATTGTATCAATTTATCAAACAAATATCTAATTCTATCACTTGAAAAACAAAACACATATTAAATAAGCACTGACTTATTTGATCAAACAGATCCTCTAAAGATGAAACTTGATCCTCTAAAGATGAAAATATTTATCCCTTGTCATGCTTGATCGCGATTCTGCCATCATAAGGGATACAGAATGGTCTACAAACGCAGCTAGTCAATAAAATGGGTCGATAATTTTTGGGATCGGTATGATCACGTCCAGGTTTTGGTATAGGTTTTGGTATGGGTACAACTAATGAATGAAAATTACCCGATGTCCATATTTCAACAGATTTTCAGAAGGGTTTTAACATGGTTGAGGTATGTGCGTCAAGAGTTGATCTGATCAGCCCCTGCAGCAGTATCATGAGCTTGTCCAAGAGAAGTATGAAGCTCAGTGATGCATGTATTTCAAACAATGGCAGTTGGCCAAAGTAAAGTTCCAATTTGCTGAACGAGGAAGATCTGAAGTCATGGGTTTCTAGATGTCAGGAACACAGCCACTCCAACAGACGTTTTCGTGGACTGACCAGTCAAATTCGTTTTGTGGGTCTGAATCTATATTGATAAATCGATAGCAGAGTAAGTACCTGTGCCGCGATGCAGATATGTTTTTGAGTCATCATTATGTATCCCTGTGTTATTGGTTTTCGGACGCTAAGGAAACATTCTTAGTTGTGTCGCTAATAACGTAACAACTGTAAAACATCTCACTCACCTGTAAATGCCAACTTTTGTCTTAAAAACAAGCCAACATCCGAGCATTTACAATGTTTGTGTTTGGCACATCACTCGATGGAATCCGGCAGGCGCAAAACCCTCCATATCTGTGACGTCATACGTTTTTGGAGGCCTGATTGGTTGGCGGAAGATGGGGTAATCCAGTCAATGTACGGTGGCCACGTTTGGTCATCATATCAATGAAATACAAAGTTAGCCCCAAGAAAAGTTTAAATAACTTTCTCAGCGTGAATAGGATTTTAACACATTAACAGTGTGATGCAGTCATTGTGACATCCACACAACTCTAACTGGAGCGCATTACTTTAGATGAGTCCACTGCTGACACGCGGAAAAGTTCAGAGCCCAGGGTCAATCGAACGTGGGGCGTGGCTTACTCCCAATGTTGACGGTTGGTTTGGGTTGTAAACGCCAAGAAACTGTCGCGTCGTATCTGTAGTCGGCATGCGGAAGCTTTCAACAGTGCTTGTCGGTGATGCTTTCCTGGAATCCTTTGATTTTTTTCTGTGATTGTGGTGGATTGAGTTTCTGAATATTCAGAATTTCAGCGAAAGCAGAATCTTCTGGCATCACCAATAGCAGTACGATTACTCTCCTTTTTTGTTGTCTTTTTTTCTGGAAAGTTGACCTGTTAATTTCTTCAAAGAACACTTCAGTAGAAATATAATCCTTTTCTACATGTTCTGCTTGGTCATCAACGGTTGTCTCTGCAGTTTCCACAAATATCTTGGCTGGGTCGTACATTGAGCATCTCGGTTGAAGGAATGAATGCCACATTTCCGAAAAGATGACAGGGCAGTAAGGTATGCCTTCAAGCCCAAAGAACATACTTGAACACCTGTTGACACCTGTGGTTGTATTCTCTGGCATATATCTGTGACGCATTTTATTATAAACTTTCAGAAAAGGACCGAAGCTCCCAACATCCTTCGGCTGGAGAACATGTGATGAGTGGGCTGGCAATACAAACAAGATGATATTTCTTTCTTTGGTCCATCTAAACAAAGCAACATTGATATGAGATCTATGTTGGTCATACAGAATAAGTAGTGGTCTTTCAGGTGTTGCTGATATGGCATCCTTGAGTAAGTGAACAGCTAGATGTCTCTTTTACTTTCAGATCAAACTTTCACTGTTGGACTATCCTCAATCGCTAACAGTGCCAGCCATTCCATGTGGGCAGGCTTGCAAAATGCTTGTTCATGCTACGTCTCCCTTTGAAGATGAAAAAGGAGGTATGACATTTCCGATGGCATCTCCGCATCCAATAACTGTGGTTGTGCTTGAGCGTAGGCATATGGTGTTCAATCGGTCCATTGTCATCTACTTTGTAGATTCGCTCTGGTTTGTCCTTCAGATCATAACTGTCCAATATGTCCTCCAAGTAGTTACGATAATGACATACATAATTCTTGGATGTCGCTTTTGCTCTTTGAATCTCAAGAGATCTTGGCTTCTGAACCTTAGGTTGTGGCCACCTCTTTAAGAAACTATAAAAAACAAGCCTTATTTTTCTTTCAAAGGTAAACAGCAGGATCTGTTGTAATGAACACAACTAATCTTGTATAGCCATAGCCGAAAGCTGCCATACTTTGTATGTGATTAACCAAGCTGCTTTCCTCCACACAAGTTAGAAACGGTTCTGGTCCGGACTTAGTGCATGGCTTGTCAACACCCCCCTTGATTGTGACAAATAAAGTTGATCTTGGGACACCAAATACATACGCAGTTTTACGGACTGGCACAACATCTTCAGTGACAACATCTTATGCTTTAGTTAGTGTACCAGAAGAGAAATTTCTGTAGGAATCCTTGCCATGTTGAGAGTGAGTGTATGAGTATGGTTTTACGTCGCTTTTAGCAATATTCCAGCAATATCACGGCTTAGGACACCAGAAATCGGCGTCACACATTGTACCCATGTTTGGAATCGAACCCGGGTCTTCGGCGTAAAGAGCGAACGCTTAAACCACTAGGCTACCCGACCGCCCCTCCATGTTGAGAAGGAAACTGAAATAAGAAAAACACCATAATTTAGAAAATGCAAAAAAAACCGTTAAAAATATGGCCAAAATACGTTTCCATATATTCACAATTCGGTGAAAGAAACCCCTCATGCCATGTGACCACTTCGAGTTACCAGACGACGCATCGCTAGCCGATTGAAATCAGTCGTACCTTTTTTCAACCACATTTAAATCTGAGGTATGTGATACATTCTGAGACGTTTCTTTGTTTTTTGTATTATAGTACTTACCTTTGGCAGTTTTAGACGAAGCATTTTGTTCAGACGACTGTGGAAGCGCTTCCAGGTAGCGCTCTTACCTCGATGGCGTCACACGGCTCGTTACAGGGCGAGAAATACCAATAAACATCATTGCCGTCCGAAAACATACGATCCGACGATATACACAAGTCGTTGTTGTTCTAAAAGCTTCCCCTTGCTACTTGCTGAGCACTAAACCAAAGTCGATGGTGTCCCACAGTGATTGAAGAGTAAATCACAGAGAGCTTGAAGTTCAGACTGTTGGACAGAAGGAGATGTGAGCAAACAGGTCGGAAGACAGCTGCGGAAGAATTCAGGGTTGAGAGTGTTGTTGACTGGCTATTAAATCAGCTTTTATGCGTCAGTGTAGGAAATGTTTTGTTCGCATTGAATGTTGATGTTGTCTACCAGAAAGGGCAGTACATTGATGCAGCAGCACGGTAATTGCCTCTGTCAGCACACTTGATGTCTTTGACACGAGTACCATCATTGTCGTCACCATGGCGATAAGAAACCAGAGAGTTGGGTATGATTTTGATGTGAAGCATCGGAGTGGATTAGTGACATTCGCCTCCATTCCGATGTTGGTATTACCAGCTTTAATAGAATGTGGAATAGATAAGTGTGCAAAGGTCAGCATTAATGTTTGTGTGTTGTCAACGCGGCCCTTTCCTGACGGTGAGGCGTTTAACAGCTGTGACAGCCTAGTCTTCCAACAATACAGTAATTTCTTCTTCCGACTAATAATGCCTCTGCAAGAGTTTAATGTTCTTCGTGCAGACACAGCAACCACAACATATGCGAACATCGATAAAGGATAATCGATTATTGGAGATGGTTTCTCTGTAAATATTCCCGCAAAGGGGAGCCACCACGAAGACGAGTGACATTTGTAAACTCGCAAGAAATACTAGAAATTACTTTTGAAATGGAAAAAAGGTTTAGTTAAATGGGTATTTGATCCTTAGCCTCAATCACCAGAAATCTATCACAGAAATCTACATTTTGAAATCTATTTTCCGTTGAATTGTCTTTTCATTTTCATTTAAACCAGGTTGTTGAAGTGACATGATGAAGAAACAATAATTCAGCACCCCTGCTCCCCATCAACCATGGAGCGCCAACAAGGGATGTGTAAATTACACTGAATCTCCAAGATGTAAACACAGATGCTATACTCCACCAAATATGACACAAAGAGCTATATTTGTCTACCAACTCCGATGTCCGACTGGTTAGGCCCATGACAAAAATGCAGACATACATTAAACGGAGGTCAACATAACCGCCTTCTGGCATAAGATTTCGGAGAATTTATCGCTTCAATAATTTATAGTTTATACCAGGAGTGAGTGAGTATGGTTTTACGCCACTTTTAGCAATATTCCAGCAATATCACGGCGAGGGACACCAGAAATAGGTTCCACACATTGTACCAATGTCGGGAATCGAACCCAGGTCTTCGGCGTGACGAGCGAACGCTTTAACCACTAGGCTACCCGACCGCCCCTAGTTATAAAAAGGCCAAACAATACACTGATATAAATCACACCGTAGAATGTACAGAGCTTTGAACTGTACCTGCGAATAGTGATGAACCAGTGTACAGGTGTCTGTGCCTCTAATGCCATCGCATAACGTTAATGACTGACAAATCTTGACATTTTGCTCTCAACAATAACAAGATACCGGACTCAGACACATTATACTGACTTCTGCGCCCTTGTGTTATCCCCTTAATGTTGAAAGCCAGGCAACAACAAGTACCACATTTAAAAATATTTTGATATAATGGGGCCAGGCCTTAAACCAGGGACCTTCCGCTCAAGTAGACTGAGGAGCAACGTAAACCATACCCCTTAGTTGATTTTATCATATGTTTCATTTTCAATTGAAAATACATAAAGAGAACAATATTATGTCAGAAAAGCATCTGTACTGACACTTTGTCAGGACGCAAAGAATACCTGTATATGGTTGCATTTTTGAAAATATAATTAGATTTTTGAATAATTCAAAACAAATCGCAAGATACACAAGTGCAGAATGGTATCTTAGACACCTTATCTTTGAAACTCAATAAATTTACTTTTTTCGGCACAAACATTCACAACATGATTAGAGACATGTAGCTGCAAATGTATTTCTTACCACAGTTTTCATGAAACTAATATATTACTTTTCACAAACTGTTAGCTAGACATAATACAATTCAACACCAGTTCTTTCAATTTCCAATTCACTAAAAACAAACCCCGTATAGTTTTTTCCCCCTCAGTTCAGATCGAAGCGTCAACGATCGTAAGTCTATGTTGCAGATGTAAGACAAGGTCCACTTACTTCGCGTAAGTTTTATATGCATTATTGATTAATTCAGAAGCATCAAATTGATTCTAGTATCTCCTCATTGCCTTTACTCTTCGCTCAGTAGCATCAGCCATAAGAAACATTAGTAAAGGCTCTGAAAAAATGGGTACAGTCAGCGTCGTAACATTGGTAATTATTTCATCCTGTTTCGTGTCTTGCCAGAGTGATAAACTGGGACTGTACTTAGAAAATGCGATTCAGGACAGAATCCTCCCTGGTGCCGTGTTTAAAATATTTTCCAAGACTTCCCTATTGCAGTGCTACAGGCTGTGCGTCTACTCAACAAGGTGCGTTTCGTCAAACTGGATCAGAACGGCTAAAGAATGTCAGTTAAATTCACGAAGTGTTGAGGATCAAAGTTTACAGGATTCTCACACGAATATTTTCCTGCCTGTTCAAGTAATTTCTTCACAGGTAAGACAGCATATTGGTAATAATCGACCAGAGATCGGTCTCATAGGTTCCGTAGTTCATTGTAATCCAAGATAAATTAGTGATCTATCATTTCGAAAGGTTTTGGTATAATAATAATGATTTGGTCTATCTGAATGTAATTTGAATTATCGATTGATAATATATAATGCCGCATGTATGTATGGCAGGAATAGGGTTCATGTACATACATGCAAATGTAAGAAAGTGTTGCTGACATATAAAAGTAGACAAAAATCTAGTCTCTGAAATGAACATATCGTACAGAAAAAAACAGTTGTTCAATTATCTTAATAAAAATATAATAAATGAGAGCCCAGAGTCTCTCTTCATTTTCAGATACTGTAGTAATCTAGACTTGCCAAAAATTATAGACTTGCATGGGCTGTATTTGATATATTTGTATCAGGGTCTGTATGACAGACTAATATAAAAGTTGAGCTGCAGCTACACTGAGCGCTAATTATGCTTCATTACGCTTCTGGGGGCACGGGTGGCCCAGTCGTCTAAGGCGCCGCGATTCGCTGTGCAGAGTTGCGTCCCTTGGGCACGCCAGAAACCTATGATTGTGGGTTCGAATCCCGGTTCGCCCCGATTATGTTTCTAGGTTTGTCAGCACCATACCCGTGCTCGTGGGTTTCACGTCTTAGACCTTCATCACTTCGGGCTTTCCTCCAACATTAAGCTGACACGCCGTGGTATAACTGGAATACTGTTAAAAGCGGCGTGAAACCCAACTCACTCACTCACTCACTCATTACGCTTCTTTCTTAGGACCATCCGTGTTCAGATCGCCCTTGCAGGAACGAGCACATCTGTGTCCCAGTGACAGGATCTTCATCACATGTCTGCTTGCGTATCGATACATACGGACAGATGGTATCAAGTGTGGCAAGTGTCTCTTCAACTACTACTGCCGGTAACCCTGGGGTCAGCAGCGCAGCTCCGACCACTTATATTAATAATGATGTATCTGCAAGCAACACTTCCATCACAGCTAACAGTAACACTTTTGAAGTGAGCGACACTTCCACCACAGGTAACAGTAACCCTGCTGCAGTGAGCGACACTTCCACCACAGCTAACAGTAACCCTGTTGAAGTGAGCGACACTTCCACCACAGCTAACAATAACCTTGTTGAAGTTAGCGACACTTTCACCACAGCTAACAGTGACCCTGTTGAAGTGAGCGACACTTCCACCACAGGTAACAGTAACCCTTTTGAAGTAAGCGACACTTCCACCACAGCTAACATAATTCCTCCTGAAGTAAGCGACACTTCCACCACAGCTAACGGTAACCCTGCTATAGTGAGCGACACTTCCACAACAGCTAACAGTATCCCTGCTGCAGTGAGCGACACTTCCACCACAGCTAACAGTAACCCTGTTGAAGTGAGCGACACTTCCACCACAGCTAACAGTAACCCTGTTGTAGTGAGCGACACTTCCACCACAGCTAACAGTAACACTGTTGAAGTGAGCGACACTTCCACCACAGGTAACAGTAACCCTGTGGAAGTGAGCGACACTTCCACCACAGGTAACAGTAACCCTGTGGAAGTGAGCGACACTTCCACCACGGCTAACAGTATCCCTGTTGAAGTGAGCGACACTTCCACCACAGCTAACAGTAACCCTGCTGAAGTGAGCGACACTTCCACCACAGCTAACAGTAACCCTGTTGAAGTGAGCGACACTTCCACCACAGGTAACAGTAACCCTGCTGAAGTGAGCGACACTTCCACCACAGCTAACAGTAACCCTGCTGAAGTGAGCGACACTTCCACCACAGCTAACAGTAACCCTGGTGACACTACAACCACTTCCACAGCAGCTCGTAAGTAACATTATTGTACATACGTAATTTTTTTCATTTAAACATATTGACAGCAAACTGGGTCGGTGAACCATGCTTGAAGTATATTATGCAGAAAAAATACATGCACAGGCAAGTCAAGGTTTCATCTGAACAAACGGTCGAAATTGGGGATTGTATCGGAAATAATTTTGGTTCCTGCAATGTTCGCCGCATGTCAACTCTAAAACTGTTTGAAAGCTTTACAAAGGCTTTGAGTGACTGAGTGAGTGATGCCTTGAGGGATGTAACCCTGATTAAATAAGATTTGAGGAATAGACCCAGGACGCTCTTTGAAATCTGTGTTGAAAGAGCGCGCTCAAATAAAACTCAAAAGTTGAAAATTGTAATTTAATAATGAGATTCAGACACTTTCTGCGCTTTGTGAGCAGATTCATTTGATGGAGCATTAACATCTTCTGAGTGAATGTTCCTCCAGCTGTATGACGGCGATCTGAAAATAATCGAGTCTTGACCATGAGCATCGATTCACCCAATTGGGATACGATGACATGCATCAATAAGTCAGCGAACCTGAACCCGACCCCGTTAGTAGCCTCTTACAAGCATAGTCGCCTTTTACCGGTAAGCATTGGTTGCTGAAAACCTATTTTTCCCCTGATCTTCCCGGGCCCTGAGTGAATGTCGTCTGATGCTGACCAGGCAATCAAGTCATACAATCTCATTAAGATCACATCTTCTAAACCGATAATATACCCCAATAAAGGTCGCGTCAGGTGAACCCTAAGTAAACATTGATAGCCAATTCTAAACGGACGATGCGTGGGCCATTAAGCAAATCAGATATCAGCTTTCTGAAACGATTCGGCTTCGAAAACTTCCATCGTAGCAGAAGAACACAAATATTCCCCCAATCTTCCCCCAATCATACACCCTTTTGGATGTAGAAGCCACGTGCACGGCGCTACGAAACGACAGTATGTTTGAAAATGTAAGTGACGTTACCATTTCCATATTCATAGGAAATCTCTGCCCATAGTCTCATTGTACTATTCCGACTACATAATGGGCATGTTTTTATAAATAATGTTTTCATAGGCGTTCGCGAAAAGGTGAGCATATCCTGCCCCACCGGTGCACCTCTCACACATTTAAAGGCACCTGAAAAACACAGGAACATAGAGCACAAGTCAAAATAGGGAATTACATCGAACTGATTCTTGTGATTGATGCGTCCGATTTGGAAAAGTCCTTAAAAGCTTTACCGCGGCCTTGAATGTTCTAACCTTCATCAAACAGCTTCTGAGCAAGAGTCATATGACGCTCTATGAAATCTGGGTAGAGAGAGCTTGCTCGAGTATACCTCAAATATTGTGAAAAAATGTAGACTGCAGGAAAGTTGGAGAAATATGTTTAGAGCGCGTGGCTTTATGGGTTTGCATTCGGGACTTCTCTATTATATTCGTTTTCGAGATACAGAAATCATCAAAGCAGGACTCAATGCTTCGATCACTCTTGTGTATTTAGGAGCCTCGGAGCTGATTAGCTGATAAGAAAGACGCGACGTGTCCTCAAAGAGAGGTATCGTATCGGAGTTAAAAAATCTGATTTAAATTAGATTAACCAGTCATACACAATCAGCGACGTCAGAGAGCCTGACAACCCGATTCCTATTTTCACTATGGTATTGGTGACCTTGTGTGTCACGGATCCCCATAAGGTAGTTATCAGGAAGGAAATACGTATATGAATATCAAGTGTTATGACTTTTGGGTTCTTTTTTTCAGCCGATGGTTCATGCTCAGAGAGTGCTGACTGTGCTGTATTTCCGACGTCAAGTTGCCGTGATGGTTTCTGTACATGTAATATAGGGTACGATTTGGATGTGGCCAGAGCAGTTTGCAGGGACTTAAGAGGTACATTAACATTACTTTAACGTGTAATATTGCACATGCCAAAATGTTATTTTTTAGCAAAGGGGTGTCACAACCTTGCGATCTTTGAGATGTTCGTCTGTTAAAGAATGTCATTTAGCGTCGCCGTCATCAGTTTCACTTTGAATTGTTTTAACGGGTATGGTCATGAGTATGATACTGTTCTGGAATTATCGTGTATGCTTGTTTGTTGTTTAACAACGACCGATATTCCAGCTATATGACGGCGGTCTAATAAATCAATCAGATTAAAATTAAGATTAAAATCATCAGCACCAGTCTATGCAGTTGGGATACGATGACATGCATCAACCAAGACAGCGAGTCTGACAGTCCGATCGCGCCAGTCGTCTCTTACGACGAGCATGGGTTGTTGAAAACCAATTCTTCAGTTTGTGTATGACAGATGAATACACCAACTAATATTCAGTGTATAAATAAAAATTCATCGTTCTTTCAGAGTGTACCACCTTTGGGACAGGCTACAACCATTTCCCGGGACAGGTTATTTGGCAAGAAGATAAAGAGAAAAGAACCTCCTCATTTTCAGTTGCGCAGTGTGTTCAATTGTGCAATGAAGCTTCAACCTATGTTTGCAAATCTTTTGAAATAGACACCAAAGTAAACGGTTGCTACACTCAGGTTGTGACCTGGCTTGATGTTAGTCAGGACAAATACTACTATGCAAGCCGTTTCGATCATTATCAACGAAAGTGCATTTGGGAGGTCCAGTAAGCTAATGCCGTTTTTGCCCGTCAAGTATATGCAGTTTGTGAAATAACTTAGAGTATATCATGCTTCAGATTTGTTTTGTTGGGTGGAGAGAGAGATTTTAGCATCTTCGGCCTTCAGTATATATTCATAACGTGACAAATGTGTCTGTAATTGACGTCATACGAAAAGGAGGTGTTAGCTAGTTTAAATTCATGACTAGACCTTACTTGGGTGTTCGACCTTTTCTGCATCAAACTATGGGCACATGCATTGCGGCATTGTTGAAATCATTATATTTGAATAGCTCTTGTGCTACAAGCATTATCACCATGGCTAGTTAAGCAACAATGGACAATAGTAAGATTTCATTTTAAAATATGAAGATTTTGTTGGATGTTTTGGATGTTTCAAGATGCCTGTTTTAAGATCCCTTGGGCACTACAAGGAATTAGAGAAGAAGGATTTAGAGAAGATGACAAAGTGTTAAGATGTATTTTATATGTTTCTGAATAAATCCCAAGGCTATTTTAAAAGACTTGGTTTCATCAGTAAATAGAACTTTTTATCTTTTTATCTCACTAGCAACTGTTCCACCATTGTTGGATCCAACAAAGAAGATAAGAGTCGTATTTGGATCTCAGTTGGACATATGAATGCCGAAGTATTAACTGCTTTTTATCAGATTTTCATAACTTTGTAAGTCCTTCCGGTTAGACGAGTTGCCAAGAAGGTGAAGACAGCTTTTTGCATGGCGTAAAAATATCAAGATCTATATTTCCTGCTGTTATATGAGGTTTCATTTCGATCCCCAGAGGTGGAACCAGCTTCGTTGTAGTTTGGAACAAGAAACCAGGGTTATCATTATCCCCGCCTTGGTGCACATTAGAATTTTGTTTGTTCATCTTGTATAAACTATGAAAAGAGTCCTGTTAAGCTTTATGGTAAGATAGGCACACTGGCTGCTTCATGGTATCTGAAAAAATGATTAAATGTGAAATTAATACAAGAGGCCTCTTCTCTGGAAAGAAAACCTTAGATACCATAAGTGTCTCTTAGATAAGCTACTTTCAGTAGTTTCTGAGAAAGTTTGTCACCATTGTAGACAAGATGTAAGCATTAAGTAACATAACATGAATCAAGAAACTCAATAAACGGAACCAACCACGGACCCAAATTTTCGAACGTAACTCTCAGATAACCATGCAAACTTTCATTCATAAAACTTCAGTAGTGAGAAAACGTATCCACTTTGAACACACAATACACTAAGTTGAAAAGCACGGAGCAAGGGCCATAACTCTGTAAAATATAATTGACAGGACAAATTGATGACGTAATTTCATTGATGTAATTTCAGTAGTTGCTCAGAAAACTGGTCCCCAATAAGTTGAAAAACATGAAGCAAGGGACATAAACATGTAAACTGACACCAATTTTAGAACACATTTGAGATCCTGACCAGTAAAACATTGTGTAAAATTGCATTGCTCAAACTTGAATAGTTTGTTTTTTTTAAATTCCACATTGAGTGAGTGAGTGAGTTGTGTTTAACGCCGCTTTTAACAGTATTCCAGTTATATAACGGCGTGTCTGCACAGTGAATCGCGGCGCGTTAGACGACGATATCGCATTTTCATGTCAAGGGGCACAATTCGTGATCTACGCGGGGTGGGCGCAAGGGTCGGGCCAAAAAAATGCCTTGATGTGGCAAGGGTAGAAACTAGGCTTTGATATAGGCTAGTGGACACGCGTGCCTCGGGAAGATGCCTTCACTGCTGATATACTCATATCATGATGGATCATGGCTTTTGTGTTTTTTCGCTGCACGTTCCCAATGTTTGTACGTTTTTCAGGTAACAGACCACAACAAAACCTTTTAATATTATGCAACTATATGGGACTGAACTTATAAATCGCTCCTCCCAATTGCGTATATCGATGTTCATGATTTCAATCACTGGATTATTGTCTCATCCAGGCTCCATTGTTTACAGATTGCCCCCACATAGCTCGAATATTGCTGTTTAACAACGAGCAAAATGAAACATCTAAGGACAGGACAACACACCTGGAACTACTTGAATATTTATCATCTCGATTGACGACGGCGGCAAGGGAGTACAATCACATTAACATTCATTATTAAACGCGAGCGTTGTCTTTAACGTGTACGATATCAATCGTTGTTTACAAGTGTGTTATTCCTAATTTGTAATGTGACTCAGTCTTTGAACGTTTGAGCTGTCACATCTTAAGTAAGGAGGGTTTTGTGCTCATTAAAGAGAGGACACACAAAAGGGCTTCACAAATTCGCGCGTGGGGAATCGATCGATCCATGGCCTTTGTCGTGACGAGTAAATTCAAAACGTCAACGCGTGAGAATATTCACCTTTTATGATTGCATTCTGTTGTTCTTTCTTAACAAGGTAAAAAATTAACAAGCAAAAAATAATCATATCACCCGCCAATATGACATGCCCGGTTGTCTGCAAGGCAAGAAATATAGAACGGTTTTTAAGACCTGCACCGGAAACGAGTACTACCGCCACTTTCAGTCTAAGTTAAAGTCGTTGCATTTGAAACACGAAAAATATTTTTTTCAAACATTTAAAACTATCAAAAGCACCAGTCCAACTAGACCTATCTGTGCGCCAAGTTTGGTAAAGATAGTTAATGTTTTTTTAGTTCTGCTCCGGACACCAAACGTGACGGACCGACAGCACCCAATCCTATATCCCTCTTTCACTTCGTGGCGGGGGACAATATTTTTACAAATATCTTAAAAGCTGGTAGCAAATAATACCGAGATAAACCTGTTCTAAGAACATGTACGCTTGAATAGAATGATCCTTGGCCCAAGTGTAACTCTTCGATGCCCTCAGTGCATCTATTTGAATTTTCTGCTGGAAAAGTAATTAGAAGCGAACTCACCTGAAACGCCTCAACTCCTCGGATGTCACATAAATATTCATCATAAACCGCGAGTGTGGTCTTCCATGTGTCTTATTTCAAACGTTTCGTTTGTTTGCTGTTTAAGGCCACACTCCACAATATTCCAGCTTCATGTATGTGAGCTGTTGACACGATGACACCAAGGCAACTAGCCTGTCGACGGGATCCAAATGGTCGCTTCTTCAGACCAGCAGCGGTTGAGGATGAGGTTTTTAAAACCCTGAATCCAGATGGGTAATAAGTGTTCAAAACGATTGTCTGGATATCTTTATTTTCATTAGGACAAATCAAAGTAATTGTGTATTGCTTACTCGTATAAGAAACCATGACGATGCCAACCATTCCACAAAATTTACATACGAACCTGATTGCTTCAATGCGCTGCATGGCGATGCGCGAAAAGAGACCAAAATGACCAAACAGGAAGTTCAGTTCGGCACGCGCTAAATGAATGGGTATGTCATTTATAGTCACATCGGCAGTTGTTAAAGTATTGTGACTAAACAAGTTACATATGTTTAAATAAAATAATGAGGGAGACGTAATCTTGATATCAAATTCCATTAGTGGGAATTGTAGCTGATACCTTAATTTGACGAAAGAGTTGTTAAAGTAATCGGCTTTTACTTGATGGTAACATATTTTAACATGAATTTGAAAAATACTCGATTTTGATTGGTCAGTCAGAGGTTTCAAACCAGGATAAATCCCCTCTGAAACAGCTGGTTTGGCGGACACTTTACCGCGCACTGATATGCATCTGCACTTGGTGCTCCTTTCAGATAGTCTTCAGATATGTTTTAATAAATTTCACTCGAATAAAGTTAACACATAGACGACATTTGCTTGACTTCGCCGGAAGTAGCTCTTGGTCGAGTGCATTATGACTCGAGGGGTCATGGCTATATTCAAATTGAAGTTCTCAGTGACATATCTCAATGAGATAATATTTAACAATTAAACATAAGATAGTCACTTGAATAATTAGAAACATTGTTATACATATTTGTTTTCTGTTATATATTTTATGTTTGCATTATATGGAAAAGTATAGAAAAGTAAACCAATCTTTTCATATATGGAGTGTCCTGCTCGGTCAACCAAACGTTACATAGAGTTCCAACTCATGATCAAACCGGTCATTTTAGAATGGAGCTAAACCTTCTGTGTTTTCCACCCGTGAAGAGCCGGGATAGAATAGCTCTTCAGCGACCCATACTTGCCATAAAAGGTGACTATGCTTGTCGTAAGATGCGACTGATGGGATCGGGTGGTCAGGCTCGCTGACTTGGTTGATGTTTGTCATCGATCCCAATTGCGTGGATCGATGCTCATGATATCAATCACTGGATTGTCTGTTCCAGATTCGATTATTTGCAGACCGCCGTCATATACCTTGAATATTGCTGAGTGCGGCGTTAAACAACCAACCAACCAACTGTGTTTTCAATTTAGATCAATATTACCTGTAGCTTTACCGCGCTATTTATTACATCATTTGTTGGCAGGGGCTTTACCATTGCTGTTTATTGCTGCTTCTTTGTGTGTTTGTTTGTTTGTTGTTTAACGCCGCACTCAGCAATGGTCCAGCTCTATGACGGCGGCCTGTAAATAATCGAGTCTGGACCCGACAATCCAGTGATTGACATCATTAGCATCGATCTACGCAATTCGGATACGATGTCATGCATCAGCCAAGCCTGATCACCCGATCCCGTTAGTCGCCTCTTACGACAAGCATAGGTTGCTGAAGATCAATTCTAACCCGGAATTTTCCAGGGACTCTTCTCGCTCGGTATCTGGAGCGTTGTGTTGTAGGGTAAGGAAGTGTAATGATGGTCTAGGTGTATTTAAGTAAGGTGTTAATGGATGTTTTCAGTGGAGTGGAGTTTGTTGAGTGGTTGTAAGAGCTGCTGGAGATGTTCGGATGCTGGTGAATTTGTGTCATCATTCAATTGTCTGTTAATAGTTCTAACCGTTTAGAGAAATCGATGTATTGAAATATTGCCCTTAATAGCATTGTTATTTTTCTCAAGGGAATGTAAGTGAATGTAAAGCACTACAATGGTTCGCCATTGTATATTTATAGCTCCACTGACTATTACTTCAATGATCTTTCTTACTTACTTTGTTGAAGGACATAATTTCCGGGCTCCTCCAGGTAGTGTATGTGTGTGTGGGTAGGATGGCGGATGTTTATCTTGTTGGCATGCATTTTATAGCAAAGTCATTTGTGAAATGTGTGCTTGAAGTGTCTGTGTTTGTGTTTCGTATGTCTTGAGTTGATGTCGGTATTTATCAGATAACAGCTGCAAGTCACCTCAGCTGATGTCAATAGCCTGCCTGTCCCCCCAGCCATGGGACACATCAGAATTTAGTTTGTTCATATGGTAGTGAATATACACGGAGAAAGGAAGGGTAAATCCAGACAGAACACATAACGGTATCAGTCTCGACAAGTTCACTGGAACATTTTGTGAATGGCCTAATTAATTCCAAGCACTAATTT